ATTGCTGATTTGAACTCAGCAAGCATGACTTTATGTCTTTGTTTTTTCCGTTTCCCTCCTGACAGTTACTGGTATTTACAGCTTGCTTGGTCTGTTGTTTTCCTTTCAAACTCTTGAGAGAATGATCCTCATTCTGAAAACAAAACAAAACAATTCTGTCAGCCTACCTGAAAAAGATTTCACCATTTATTTATTATGTATCTATGTATGCATCTGGTTATGTGTGTGCATGTGTGCCGAGTCTCCAGTCCCCAAGTGGGCTACTTTTGTGTTGCCTTTGTAGTGGGTTCTATCCACTTTGTTCAAGTGTGGTTGTACCATCAACGTCTACTTCAGCTCTTCAGATGGGATGAATGTTATGGTTTTGATACAGGATCTCATACTGCATTCTAGACTGTCCTGGAACTTCCTTTTGCCTTCTAACTTGTTTTGAACCTTCCACCTCAGCCTCCTGAATGCTAGAATTCTGGTATGAGAATTCTAGCATTCATATTCAGGGTTTAAGCACTGACAAGTATTTCCACAGAAAACAAGTTAGAAGTTCACAGCTTCCAACTAGGAAGCAAGAAAAAACAAATAGACAGTAACAGGAAAAAAGAGCAGCATCTGCTTCAAAAACAACTTTTGGCCAGATCTAAATTGCTCATAATCTCCACTGTGTGGTTTGTTGTAAAACAGGATCACACTATGACTCCAGACTGTCCTAAAACGTCATGTAGATTAGGCTAGTCTTGAGCTCACACAGGTCCACCTGCCCCTGCCTCTCAAGTGCTGGAACTAAAGGCATGTGTTACCACACCTGGCCTAAATTAGCCTCGCTCACCTGTTCAGCTTCCCATAACCAATACTGCCATAGACAGTGTGTGAAATGTGTCTTCACAATTCTGGAGGGAGAAAGGGTTGTATTGGGGTGTTGATATAGTTGGTTTCTGGTGCACTGTATCTTCCTTTCAGGCCAGTGCCTTCTTTCTGTTTTCACACAATTGCCTAGGGTTGGAGATGGTGGAATGTTGAACATTTGTCTATTTCTCTGGCAGTTTTTTGTTTGTTTGGGCTTTTTGTTTGTTTGTCTGGGGTTTTTTTGTTTTGTTTTCAAGACAAGGTTTCTCTGGGTAGCTGGCTGTCCTGGAACCCCCTTTGTGGACCAAGCTGGCCTTGAACTCACAGAGATTCACCCCCAACCCCCAATCTCAGCCTTCTGAGTGCTGGGATTAAAGGCAAGTGTCCAGGGTAAAGCCACACCCAGCTCAGGCTCTTGTGTTTGTATTGTTATGGCTCCTTCTCTCTCCGGTCCTGTTGCCTTCATTCACTTTCCAAATGATCTGTTGTAAACATGTATTTATATAGGTTTAAAAATTCATGGGGCTGGAGAGGTGGCTGAGTGGTTAAGAGCACCGACTGCTCTTCCAGAGGTCATGACTTCAATTTGCAGCAACCACATGGTGACTTACAACCATCTGTAATGGTGTCCGATGCCTTCTTCTGGTGTGTCAGCAACAGGATGCTCATATACATTAAATAAATAAATCTAAAAAAATTTCACAAAATGATAGATAAGTAATAGAGTTCACTTTAAATAAATTCTGCTTTTTAAAGTGTGTGTGCGTGTGTGTGTGTGTGTGTGTGTGTGTTAGTGTTATGGACACATGTGCTAGGCTATCTGCATAGCGTTCAGAGGAGCTAGCTCTTTTCTACCCTCATGAGTTTCAGCTTGTCAGACTTATGTGGCAAGTGCTGGACAATCCTGCCCTAACAGGTTTGGGTTTTATTTATTTATTTTTTGTACTCAAAATTATTTTTGAAATTTATCCATGTGTTTTTACATAAATGTAGCTTATTGCTTCCAACTACTGCATCAGCTAAATGCAGTTTGTAGTTTGTCTTTTTTCTTTATGATGAACTGATTTGTTTTTTATGATAGAGAATGTCAAACTGGGCGATCGTAGTGCATGCTTTTGATCTCAGCACTCAGGAGGCAGAGGGCAGTGTAGACATGGATTTATCAAAACCTGCTTTTAATAAGGGTTCTTAAATCCTTTAACCTCCCTTCTATCCCACCACCCACCAGAGGTAGTGGAAAAGAAAGGTTATTAGAATACCAGGAATGTGGACCTGTTTAGAAATAGTTCTTTGGAGCAAATCTAATCTGTGTTGTGAGGATATCAGCAGTTCAGTTCACATGAATCAGCAGCAGAGGCTCAATCCACTTGCAAACATTCATGAGTCAGCGAGGACAGGTTGATCCAGAAGAAACTGTGAGGCTCTGCTGTATGCTGTAGTAGTAGTTTCTTGGAGTGATTTCAATCTTCAGTTGTCAGGATACCAGCAGTCCACTTCAGTAGTGTCAGAATCAACAGTGGTGGCACAACCCAGCAGAAACAGCCAGGCCTCCCAGGAATCAGCATGAGTCAGCAGGAGTGACCAGGACCAGCTGAAATGCTAAGAAAAGGTTTTTGCCAAGTCTTTCTCAGCAAAGTGAAAATCAGTGAAGATGAAGACAAGACCAATGAAGTGTTGCAAAGCTAGCTATGCAAGCCTACCATCATGGTCCCTAGAGTCCTATTTATGCTACCTCCAAACATCACATGTCCTCCCATAGGTCTTGCCTCAGCAAAACACCATGTGAGTCTGTATCAGCTGATGTATCCAGAAACTTCCACTTTACTCTGCCAATTGGCCAGTCTGAGGAAGCAGCAAGAATGCTCCAGAACACCACCAGAAGTTTTTTGGTGCATTTCTTTCTATGAAATCATGACCTGTAAGGAATGGCAAGGCCTACCAATACCATCCAGCGTCATCCATCTTCTGTTGGGTCATATTTATATTCCTTCTTAACATCATGTATCCTTTCACCTGTATGCCCCAGCAAAACATCATTTGACATACCTAACTTTCCACAGAAGCCAGAAGTTTCTACTTCAGGTCAGGATCTCTGAGTTTGAGGCCAGCTTGGTCTATAGAGTGAGTTCCAGAACAACCAGGGCAACACAGAGAAACCCTGTCTCGAAAAACTAAACCAAACAAACAAACAAAAAGAGACTGTCTCTTAATCCCTAAAGTTTTATGAACTTAGGTCTAAAATGGTGTTTGTTGAGGCCTGCTCCTTTTAACATAACTGTAGCCATTTTGTATTCAGTGTCCATTTGCTCATAAGGTGAAATTAAGTTCAGGTTCTCAGACTACTTCCTAGAAGTAATTATCCATAGCTGACATTGAAAAATGAATAAGCCAAAAGTTATGGTTGAATCACTTATGTCCTGTTATCTCAATATTCCGAAATTCCCCTGTTCACCACCTGTCCACCACCTCTCTACCTCTCTTACCTCACTCAGGACCAGTCAGCTTAAAGGTTGGCTGATAATACTTTGTCTAGTTAGCCAAATATGATGCACTTCACTGCTTGCCTTTAAACTTTTTTTTGATTTTCGAGACAGGGTTTCTCTGTGTAGCCCCGGCTGTCCTGGAACTCACTCTGTAGACCAGGGTGGCCTCGAACTCAGAAATCTGCCTGCCTCTGCCTCCCAAGTGCTGGGATTAAAGGCGTGCACCACTACTGCCCGGCTGCCTTTAAACTTTTTTGTTTATTTTGTTTTTATTTATTTATGTAAGTACACTGTAGCTGTCTTCAGACACCTCATAAGAGCTCGTCAGATCTCATTACGGATGGTTGTGAGCCACCATGTGGTTGCTGGGATTTGAATTCATGACCTCTGGAAGAGCAGTCAGTGCTCTTAACTGCTCTCACCAGCCCACCTTTAAACTTTTGTTCTTTTTTTTTTTCCACCTTTAAACTTTTGAGACTGTTTTTTCATATAAAAAATTTGCCCTATTCTTGCTTAACTATTCTTGCTTAACTGAGACGGATTGTGTGGCAGTTCCTGAACCCCAACACTGTTATGACTCAAAATGCTGTGATTCAAGGAATAGTGGTGTCAGTCCTTTCTGTTTGAATTTCCATTTGCTTGTTCTCCACTTGTCAATCAAAGTGTGTGTGTGTGTGTGGCTTCATTTCCTTGTTCTTTGTATGTCATAAAGGCAGTGAATAGAGCATGTTGACTTAGAGATCAAAACAAATATGGCAGAGCTACATAATAGAGAGCCCATCTCAAAACAACAACAAAACAAGCATGTGTTCTCATCGAAGTATTCTGAAGTAGTAGCTGTGAGTTCTGGTTTAATTTCTTCAGGATGCTTGTTTACATAATGTTTTTCTTGCTTTGTTTCAGGCTCACTAAACCATCTAACTGGAATAGTAATCAGACTGACTGTTCTTCTCCCAGTGATTCCCAGTTCCTCTTTGGATCTCAGTTCTGTCCTGAAAATTCAGAGTCTCTGTTACCATCCTTGGATGCTGGTGCTTATTTAAAACACCCAAAACAGACACAACAGAATTCTGTAGATGTGAGTCTCGTTTCCAGCTAGTTAAAATTTTCTTTTTGAGATAGAATCTTTCTATGTAGGCCAGTCTGGACTCTCCATCTCTGTTTTCAGCCTCCTGGTTGTTGGAATTATAGGTTTTGGCAGCCACCACTAGCTCTGATTTCCAAATTTCTCTGTATATAATCCATAGTTCTTATCGAGGCAAGCTTAAAAAAGAATTATTCTATTGTAATATGAACATACTTTAGAATTATGAAGATTACTATCCTAGATGGGTTAGTACTTGATTGATGGCATTTTGTTTTGTTTTTGTTTTTGAGTTAAGGTCTCATTATATAGCCTTGGCTATCCTAGAACTCCTTATATAGACCAGGCTGGCTTGAATTTAGAAATCTGACTGCCTGTTCCTAAGTATTGGGAGTAAAAGGATGCACTACCATGCCTAGCTGACTCATGACTTATAAATTAACCTAGAGGTCTGAAATATGTATATACATATATACATATACGTATACGTATATACAGTGTCTTTTATTGCCAGAACAACATAAAATAGTGTCAATCTCTTGAGCATTACTAGGGAGAGGCAAATACGCATATTTCTTCATGATTGTGAAAATTTCTAAGCAGCAATAGCTTTTGTAAAATGAATTAGTTTGTTTGCTTTTATTAGACAAAGTCTTTCTATGTAGCTGGCTGGCCTGGAACTCACTATGTAGAACCAGGCTGGCTTCACATTCACAGAGACCCATCTGCCTCTGCCTTGAGAACGCTGGGGTTCAAGGTGTGCACCATCGTACTGCTGCTTCTGTGAGTAGGAATAGAGGGGCTGGAGAGATGGCTCAGTGGTTAAGAGCACCGACTGCACTTCCAGAGGTCCTGAGTTCAAATCCCAGCAACCACATGGTGGCTCACAACCATCTGTAATGGGATCTGATGCCCTCTTCTGGTGTGTCTGATCACAGCAACTGTGTACTCACATTCATAAAAATAAATAAATCTTTTTAAAAAAAAAAGAGTAGGAATAGAGAAGGTTAGAATAAATGACTCAGTGGGACAAGTGCTCTCTGTATAAACTTGAAGACCTGAGTTTGAAGTCCTCGAATTCATCTAAAGCCAAGCATGATGGTACATATTACTAACACATATCTAATTCTAGAGCTCATACAAGGGGATGGGAGGGTGAGACAGAAAATCAGCGGGCCAGCTAACCTGTCATATACAGTAGTGAACACAAAGATAAGCTCTTCCTCAAACAAACTGGAAGGGTTTGCCAACACCTGAGGTTGTCCTCTGACTTCTACACATGGCATACACATGCCTACACTTATGAACACACACATATACAGGATTAAATCCATAAATAAATAAATAAATAAATAAATAAATAAATAAAATAAGCCCTTTGACTTAAATAAAGGGACACATTTTAGTTTTTCAGTGCTGTTGATGGAATCCAGGGCCTAGCAGGGCAAGTGTTCTACCTGTAAGCTATAGACTAGCTCTCTTAATTTTTAAAACATTTATTCTTGGGGTTAGAGAGATGGCTCAGTGGTTAACAGTATTGGCTGCTCTTCCAGAGGACCCAGGTTCAATTTCCAGCACCCACATAGCATCTCATATCTGTAACTCCAGATCCAGAGGATCTGACATAGACATACATGCAGGAAAAACATCATAAAAAGTAAAAATTAAAACATTTATTCTTTCACAATTTCATGTATGTATAATGCACGTTGATTCCCCATATCTTCTCTTATGTGCTTTCCCTTCCCTCTGAACTCCTTCCCCCCAACAGGTTTCCCACTGTGTTTCTATATTGTTTTATGGCCAGTGTAATTACTTTTCATTTTCTCTTTGCTTCTGAGACAAAGTTTCATGTTGCCCTGGCTGGTCTCAAAGGCACTGAATAGCCAAATTAACTGTGTAGCCAAAGATGATCATGGACTTCTTAATTATTAGTAATATTGCATTATTGCTTTGCTGTTTATTATTTGTTTCTTTGGGCACAGAGGACACCTTGGTAGAGATGGTTTCGTCCTACCAGGTGGATTCCAGGGATAGAACGCAGGTTGGTGGCAAGCATCTTTACTGGCTGCGCCATCTCCTAGGTGTGACTTTGGATTCCTGAACCTCCTGGAACTACAAGATTGCATTATCACTTTGTTATCTTTTTACAAAAACTAATTACATTTATTTATTTGTGAGGGTTGAGCACTCACTGTCTTAAGTCTGTGTTTTATTGCTGTGAAAAGACACTATGACCAAGGCAACTCTCATAAGAGGAAGCATTTAACTGGGGGCTTGCTTAAAGTTTCAGAGGTTTAGCCAGTAATCAAGGCAGGGAGAAGGCAGGACGTAGGCTGGTGTTGGAGGAATAGCTGAGAGCTACACCCTAATTTGTAGGTAGAGAGAGACTTTTGAGTTTGGCAAGGGCTTCTGAAACCCCAAAGCCCACCCCCAGGGACACAATTACTCCAACTAGGCCAGGCTTCTTCATCTTCTAATCCTTTCAGCACCACTTCCGGGTGACAAATCATTCAATTCAAATGCGCCTATGGGGGTCATTATTATTCAAACCACCTTAAGCCCTGGAGTCTGAACAACTCATGTAAATCAGGTTTCTCCCAGGTCCCAGGAAACAAACTCAGGCAGTCAGGCTTGGGAGCAGGTTCTGTTACCTAAGTCATCTCACCAGCCCATAAAAAAGAGATGATTGCCTGAGCAATTGGTACACACCTTTAATCCAGCACCTGGGAGACAGAGGCAGGTGCATCTCTGTGAGTTCAAGTCAGCCTGGTCTACAAATCAAGTTCTAGGAAATTCAGGGCTGTTACACAAAGTAACCCTGTCTCGGAAAACAAAACAAACAAAAACAAAAAAACAAAAATAAAAGGATCCTTAAAAATAAAATTAAAAATTACTTAAATATGGTTCTGCATTGTACAGAGACTAGTGTCTGACATTTGGTATTGCTTTTTTCATTTCACAGAATGAACCTAGTATTTTCACAAAATACCAAGCAAAGCCCCAGTTGTTTGGAGGAGATACAAAGGGTGAAGGTTTATTTTCTCTTCCTTTGCCAGTTGGGAAATCAAAAGGACTCTCAAAACAGTTTGAAGAGAAAAAACGAAGGGCAACGGACCAATCTGACAGGTAAACACATCTTTTAAGAGGACGAGAAAGCTCATGCTTTCGGAAGGAAACAAAATGTACCATTAATAATCAGATAATTGAATTTCTGTATAATAACATGCATTTATGAGGGATGTGCATAGCAAGAAGAAACAGAATCAATATTGCACACACTGTTCACATACACATGCACACACACATGAGGAGGGTTGGTCAGTGACAGAAAGATAGAAAAACTGATTTGTTTTGGAAGTTAGTTGGTCCCATAAATCTTCTGTATGCATTCTAGAGAACCAAGGGCCCAGAGATATAATTGAGTCTGAACAGAGGACCCTAGAAGGAAGGGGAGAGAGGCAACTCCTTAAGTGTTGAAGTGTTGAAGACTCAAGAGCTAGGAGCTCCACTGTACAGGGCAGAAGAAGCTGGAAGTCATAAGCCATGAGGACAATCTTCCCTTTCTTTAGCCTCTGGTCAGGTCATCAGTAGACTGGGTAATATATCTGCACTTTATAAAGATTAACTTGTTGTTTTTTTTTTAAGGGTATCATGTAGAACCTCCCCCCCAATATATATCAGCAATAGAGTGCTTACCTAGAATGCCAGGACCCTAGGTTATTCTCTATTTCCACAAAATAAATATTAAATGGAAAACATGGAAGGCAACATTGCAGCAAGCTGGGTGTTGAGGATGCCCAATTGTAATCCCAGTTTTAGGAGACAGAGGCTGGAGGGTCAGGAGTTCGAGGTCATCTTGGCAACAGTGAGTTCTGCTTACAGATCAGTTTGGGTTACTGACACAAACTGGCTGCACTCTTGCTTTCTACAGTTTGCTTGGGTGTGTATTAGTTTTGTTTCTGCTGCTATGATAAAATAACTGGACCAAAGCAACCTGAAGCCAGAGGGTGGTCGTGTGCACCTTTAATCCAGCACTCCAGTGGCAGAGGTAGGTGGACCTCTGTTAGTTTGAGGCCAGAAAAACTCTGTCTCAAAAAAAAAAAAAAAAAACCAACAATAATAAAACAAAATAAACAAACAACAGCCCGAATAAGGAAGAATAGTTCATTTGGCTCAAGCTGCAGGTTATGGTCCATTTCTGTAGAGAAGTGGAGACAGCAGGAAAGTGAAGCAACTGATAACAACACATGTACAGTTTGAGAGCAGAGGGATGGCTACCTCCATGGTCTCCTTTTTTTCTACAGTTCAGGACCCACACCTAGGGAATGGGACTGCACTTTTAGGCTTGAGTCTTCTCCTGTCAATGAATATAGTCATGACAATCACTAAGAAATACACCCACAGATCAACTTAACCTAGAGGATTTCTTACTGAGGTTCCTTTCTCAGGTGATTGTACAGTTGACAGTTGAAATGTGTGCCTGTCTATGAAAAGCAGAGCGGGACTTCAGATGTTTCCCTCGAATCATTCTCCACCTTGTTTGGTTTCCACTTAATTTTTGTTTCAGTGAACTTTGACCTCATGACCTCAGCTTACAGTAGCTAACTAGCAAGTACCAAGGATTTTCTGATTCTGTCTTCCCAGTGCTGGAATTACATCCCTATGCCTGGCTTTTATGTGCATGCTGGGGCTCCAAACTCAGGTCTCTTGTTCTTCCAAGGCAAATATTTTATCTACTGAGCTGTCTTCCCACCCACCCTGCCTTGGTTTTTGAAGCAAGGTCTCTCACTAGGACCTGGGGTTCTCTAATTAGGCTAGTTTAGCTGGCTGTTGAGACTGCAATTGAAGAGTATGCCTAGCTGTGGGTGCCTGGTCTAGAACTCAAAACTTTATGTTTATATTGGAGCCATCTCCCTAGTGCTCAAACTCTTGCCTGTTAATTTTTTCTTTTATGCTTTGGTTTGAGACAGGACCTCACTTAAAATTTGTAGTGATCCCTCTGCCTGAGACTCTCAAGTCCTGGAGTCATAGAAATGGACCACCAACACCCAGTTAGTAATTGCTTTATGCTTTCTTCGATGTGACTTGTGGATTTTAATGTAACCAGTATCATATTTGTCTCTGAAATCAAAAACTAGATTTTTTTGAAAACTGCAAAATTCAAGTAATATTATATTGCTTCTGTCTAAATGTTTCCCTTCTAGATTTTATTTCTCAGATCATCCGTAGGGTTAAGTGGGATCCCACATCCGCTCCGCCACAGGGCTCTCGAGGTGGGCCACAGGAAGTTTGACTTCGCTTACCCTACCCTGGAGCTGGGCGGGTGCTGGGCTATGGGGAGATAAGGTGTGTACAATGACCTGTCTCAAAAAGTCAGGAAGAAGAGCTGGAAAGCTGCCTCTGCACTAATTGTTCTTGCAGAGGACTCAGGTTTGGTTCCCAGCACCTATAAGGTGGCTCACAAACATTCTAACTCCAGTTCCAGGAGAGCCAACAACCTCTCCTAAGCTCCTTGGGCACCTGGCATGCATATGGTACACAGAGGCTACAACAGACGTATACATGTGTGATAAATAAATCTTAGAAGGGAAGTAAGGCAACCGTAGGAGGGAAGGAAGAGAGTGGGACTCACGTTGGAAAGCAGTTTCTTAGGGTTTGGCCTGGACAACCGAGGTTTCTCGGGCAAACTCTCCAACTTACTTATCCGTGGTTTTTCAATAGAGCACAAGGATTTATTCTTTCCCTTTTTCCCCCCCTCAACTCTAGTGAGACGCTGCACAACTTTGTTTCTCATTTTCCAGAAGTCATTCACAAGGTAGGTTCAGCTAAGGGTCAGAGTTAGTGTCCTGTAGCGCCTGCAGAAGAGCATCATTGTTACTGTTTTAGCATTAAATGACAATTCTCCGCCTCAGTAAGACAACAGGTCGCGATTTCTTTTTTCTTTTCTTTTTTTTAAATTTAACTTTATTTTGTGTGTTGGGGGTTTTGTCTGCATTTATGTCCACGTTCCACATGTGCACAGTGTCCTCGGAGGGCAGAAGAAGTCACTATGTCCCTTGGAGTTGGAGTTATAGACAGTTGTGAGCTACTGCCTTTGGGTGCTGGGATCAAACCCTGGCCTTATGAAAAGCAGACAGTGCTCCCAGCCTCTGACCAGTTCTCCCGTCACCATGTGATTCCTTTCTTCATTTTGTTTCTTAGTTGCAGACATCTGTGGAAAAGTCTGAGGAACACCTCAGCTCTAGAAGCCAGTCTATTTTAGATTCTGTGGAGACCATAGCCAAGACCTGTAAGTGTCCCATGGTTTTTTGTTCATTTGTATTTTTAAAATTTTTGTCAGTGTCACAAGGTTAATGTTAGCAGCAGAGGGCACTGGTGAGCCATGAATGTGAACTTTCTGACCCTAGCCAGGTTTCCAGGGTGATTTCATATTGTTCACGATAAGAGGTAAGTGCATAAAATTAGGCCTGCATAATAGAACCCACTGCTATGTGACTACACTTTTTGGGTTTTGTTTCGTTTGTTTTTTGTTTTGTTTTGAGGCAGAGTATCTCATTCCATAGCCCTGGCCAGCTAGGATCCTACTCACCACCAGGCTGGCTACATCTGCTTCTCAGGTGCTGGAATTAAAGGCATGTTTCACCACATCCGATTTGTAAACTTTAGTGCAATTTTTTATTTTATTTATTTAGAAAAAATGTTTGTCTATGTAGCACTGGGTGGCCTGGAACTTGTAAATGACCAGGCTAAAAGTATATATTAGAGAACATTAGTTAGGTAGTTCAGACTTTTAGAATGTGAACCAGTTCCCTAGGACTGGAGATTCAGACAGCTGTGCACCGCCATGCTTTGTAAGTGCTGGAATCAAACCCAGCTCATCTGGAAGAGCGGAGTTACACCAAGCTCTCACTGGCCCATTCCAACCCTTGGATCCCATGATGGCTTTTCTGAAGTACTGATCCTCTCTCTCCTCAGCTACTTGCTGTCTCAGGGTAGCTCTGCCAGCCTTCTCACCACATGCCTGATATGAGTCAGCAGCCTCCCTTGCCCGCTGTGCTCGATGTAGACACACTCCTCCTTAGGAGTTAGAAATACTCCAGTCACCTGCTGTTCTTCTCATTGCCTTGGTTTAGTGAGAGTTGTTTTGTGATGAGTCAGCCTTCATCTTGATGTCAGTTATAGAGTGCTGTTTGCAAAAGTCCCCTCCCCCAACAATGAAATGACTTCCATGTAGGTGAATGCCTTTATAAACACTCAACACACTATTCTCCTTAGCTAGACGCTATTCTCTAAGAAAATAGATGCTTATGCCTCTGTACTTGTTTGCATTTCTTTGTTTATTTTTTATTTTAAACTAATCCAAGGCAGCTCATTCACATTTACAAAAATCAGTGCCTTTGCCTGGCTCATAAAATACTTTTCATCTGTCTAAAAAGAAACACTGTACTGTTTATGCACTGACTTCCAACCTGGGCATCACCACACGGGGCAACTGTGTATCTGTTTAGACAGGTTAGAACTGGAACTGTTACCCTCACTAGTAGCAATGCTGAGAGCAGAGGCAAATGAGGGATGCTTCCTTGTATGATATAATGGAATGACTCCTGTGAGTGCCCCAATCACGCAGTCTTTTAGCTTTCCATTGCTTTATAGAGGTGACGGTGTGCGGGGTGGCAGTGGTGGCAGCTCACACCTTTAGTCCCAGTCCTTTGGAGGCAGAAATATCTCTTAGATATATCTCTGGGTTTAAGGCCAGCCTGGTCTACAGGGTGAGTTCTAGAACAGCTAGGGCCACACAGAGAGATCTTATCTCAGAAAACAAACCAACCAACAACAAAAAGAAGTGAAGGTTTGTTTTGGCCTCCAGAGTATTTAGCTTATGGCTGTTTATAGGAACAGTGCTTCATGGTGAGAACACGTGGAGGAGGTTTGTCCAGGTCATTGTTCTGGAAAGGATTCTGTGTGTTCCATGTGTTCCATGTGTGTAAGGAGCATCCCCAATGATCTGACTTATGTTTACTAGGTCCTACCTCCTTCCTATAAGTACTGCCTCTGCCCACTACTGCTTCAGGCAGGCAACCAAGTCAGGAGGGACAGGAGCTTAAGGATAGCTTTGGCTGCATGGGAAATTGAAGGCCAGCCTGGGTTACACAGTGAGACCCTATCTCAACAAAACAAAACCGAATGAAAATTAATATATATATATTTGCTGGGTGGTGATGGTGCATCCCTTTAATCCCAACACTCAAAAGGCAGAGGCAGGAAGAATCTCTGAGTTGGAAGCTAGCCTGATCTACAGAGCTAGTTCCAGGATAGCCAGGGCCATACAGAGAAACCCTGTCTTGAAAACAAACAAACAAACAACAAAAATCAATCAATCAAACAAACAAACAAACAAAAAAGAATTGCCAGGTGCTGGCAGAGCTGGGAGCTGGTAGTAATAGCAATAGTAACTTTTTAAAATTCTTTTTAAAAAAGACAGGCTAGACTGGAGTTCACTATGGCTTCAAGGCTGGTTTAAAAAGCGTGATAGTTCTTTTCCTGCACCTTCCTAAGAGTTGGCCACCACTTGACCTATGTAGTTTTAAATATAAAAACAGTGGAGTGTGCTGTGTTTACAAGTACCCTCTAAAAGTATACACCTCTGTGACCAGCTCTTTTGTGGATTTAAATGCTATCCTTTTGCTGAGTGTGGTGTAGCAACGCCTGTAATTCCAGCACTTGGGAGGCAGAGGCAGGATGATTCAGGACAGCCTTGGGAGTGTGAAACCAGCCTGGACTGAAGGGACTCTAGCTAGCCTGGGCATGACAAACATGGCTCTGGCAGCCCTTGTCCTTCCCCTACTTCTGTTTCTTTGCTAAAAACCATTAGATTACATTCCTAAAACTAGCCACCAAGGTCTGTTCCCTTATTTGACCACTTCCTCACTGACTACCAAGGATCTGCTATCTAAGTGTTGAGATTCAGTAATCAAAACTCACCTTTTGGCTGCCCTAATTAACTTGTCCAATCAAAATTAAACACCTCATCCTAACACGATGATTCCTCTTTTACCTTTATAAACCACTATTTGTCTGTCTCCTCTCTATCCGGAGGCAGTCCTTTGTCTGTCTGGCTTTACCTCTTATTCCTGGCTCTTTGTCCTTGTGGTACAAGTAAATCCCCTTTGTGCTTGATCATGGGGTGTCTTGTATCAGATGCTCATTCTTTTATGGGCTACATGAGAACTTGTCTCAAAACCAAAACCAAAACCAAACCACCCCTATCAACAGCAAAAAAAAAAAAAAAAAGCCAGACATGGTGAGCCTTTAATCCCAGCATTCTGCAGGCAGAAGGAGGCAGATATTTGTGAATTCTATGCCAGCCAGAACTATATAGTGAATCTGTGTCACAAAAAGTTAATTAATGGGGGCTGGAGAGATGGCTCAGGGGTTAAGAGTACTGATTGTTCTTCCAGAGATCCTGAGTTCAATTCCCAGCAACCACATGGTGGCTCACAACCATCTGTAATGAGATCTGGTGCCCTCTTCTGGCCTGCAGGCAGAACGCTGTATGCATAGTAAATAAATAAATAGATAAATAAACAAACAAACAAATGCCTGATGGTGGTTGGCTCAAATCCTTAATTTGACTACTCAGAAGGCAGAGGCAGATGGATATCTGTGAGTTTGAGGCCAGCTTGATCTACAGAGTGAGTCCTATGACAGCCAGGACTATACAAAGAAGTCCTGTCTCAAAAAACCTAAATAAATAAAATGAATGAATGAATAAATGTAGATAAAGTTAGCCAGTGAGATGACTCAGTAAAGTCACTGAGACTGCTCTGAAGTTCAAGGTCATCCTTGTCTGACATGGAATTTGAAGCCATTGCTGGGCTATGAGAGACCCTGTTTAAAAAGAAAAACAAAAATTAAAAATGATGCACTTTAAAACTTGGCATCCTTTTCCTTAAAGCACATATTGTATTATACAAGAGTTATTTGTACATTTGACATTAGTTACCTGTTTTCTCTGACAACGTTTCTCTTTCTTTTCTTTTAAACAGTGTAGCTGGGTACAGTGGTGCACACCTTTAGTCCCAGCCTGGGGGTGGTTGGCTCACACCCTTAATCCTAGCACTCAGGAGGCAGAGGCAGATCTCTGAGTGTAAGGCCAGCCTGGTCCATAGAGTGAGTTCCAGGCCAAGCAGAGCTACACAAAGAGAAGCCTGTCTTGAAAACAAAAAAACAAAACAAAATGTGTGTGTGTGTGTGTGTGTGTGTGCTTGATAGGATACAATGGGGAAGGTGGGGGTGATTTAAGAGGCCTGTGCCAAGACGTGCTGCTAAGAAATGATGCCAACAACACACAGATCTAGTGTGAGAGGTTTCTTGGGGGAAGGAGTGCTGTTTAGGAGTGGAGACGTGAGGGAGAAATGGAGACAGACAAGCAGACAGACAGACAAAGAGCAAGACAGAATTAGGGAGAAACAGACAGAGAACAGGAAAGAGAGAAACAGGGAATGAGAGAGAAATCTGGGGTGGCCTGAGGCTTTTATGTACCAAACCTGCTGCACCTGGCAGCCGAGGTGGGTGACTGTCTGTGTCCTTGGGTATCAGCTGTAAAGCTGTGGCTAGGTCTCTGAGGGCAGACTGGTGGGAATGCCTGGTTGCTAACAACATGTATAAAATTATGTATGTATGTATGTATTTTTGTATGTATGTTTGTTCAGTATTTGGTGTATAGAAAGATGGTCAATAAATATCAGTGAGTTTGGGGGAAGGCTGTTACTTTATTTTATTTTACTTCATTTTATTGAGACATGGTCTTATCTAGGATTCACCGCATCCTTATGGCTCAACCTTCCAAGTGCAAAGATTGCAGGCCTGTACTTGTGGAGAGATTATTTGGGACTAGAGGACCGAGTCCTGGACATTAGTAGAGAGGACATGATGCGTCCTACTGGACTGCAGCTCCCTCCTTCCCACTGCTGTGCTCTGAGCAGGAGATGTACATCATCAGTCCTTAGGAAGATTTTGTCTTTGTTTTGTGTTTAGTTCAAGAGACTGCGTGGGTCCAGCGTGACCTGATCGTTGAGGCAATGAAAGACAAAGGCAGTGTGGAGCAGGCCATCCTTGAGATACAGAGAACATGTGCAGCTGTGAGTACGAACATCAAGCTCTTGTTTGGTTGGCTTTGTTGTTCAGGCTTGTCCTGAGGTAATGGACTCAAGTGCTCTTGCCCCAGCCTCCTGAGGAGTTCAGATACAGGTATCTGTCACTGCTCATGCATGATTTAGGCTTCGTCTCTAAGATCAAGAGAGAAACTTAACGTGTGAGAGATTTCCATCCAAGAGGAGAGCAGAGAATGGTGGGTTTTTCATTAAGTCAGGATATAGCCTACCCCTCAGGGTTCCCTGGCAGGGTGTGTACCCAGGCCTGGCCCACAATGTAACAATGTACCTGTGCTTACTCTGTGAGGGACAAGCCTTTGTCCACTGGTTGCTTCTCACATTCTTTTTTTTTTTCATTATGACACGGGATCTCTCTCCTGTAGCACAGGCTGTTTAGAACTGACTATGAAGCCCAAGCTAGCCTCAGACCCATGTTAATCCTCTTTTTAATTTATATTTTTAGATTCATTTCTTTTTATATATACAAGTGTTTTGTTTGTGTGTGTGTCTCTGTACCATGTATATGTCTGGTTCCCTTAGAGGTCAGAGGAAGGCATCAGATCCCCTCCAGATTGTACTGGAGGTACTAATGGTTGTAAGCCACCATGTGGGTTCCTGGAACTGAATGTGGGTCCTGTACAAGAGCAGCCAGTGCTCCTAAGCACTGAGGTGTCTGTCCCTCCAGCCCTTCATGGAAGTTAGTGCTCCTGACGCAGCCATTTCAGCACTGGGAGGAGGGTATGAGCTAGGTCCCACATCTGCCCCGCCTCCACATTCCACCCCCACATCCGTCCTCACACTTCATTACGGCCATTGCTCTCCTCTTTCACTTCCTTTCCCAGAGACAAGCAGAATTGATGGAGATGAAATCCACCCTGAAGAACCTTGAAGTTTTAGTTGTCCAGCAGAGTAAGAACTTCCAGCAACTTTGTGACAACCTGGGCCAGCTCCTTGTGCCTGGTGTCCTAGAAGAGCTGAAAAAATTCACCTCTGTGCCTCAGGTGGCTAGGCATCTGAAAGACAGCACCTCTCAGACCTCACCATCTCTGACCGAGAGCCTCCATTTTGCTGGGCAGGAAAAGTATCCCTCGGTAGAACCAGCGACTTGGCAGGCCCAGGAGTCTCCTGCAGAAAATCCCAGTAGGAGTTCCCAGAGACCTGGGGAGTTTGGTGTCTGTGATGAAGAAGCCTCAGAGAGTGATGTTTTTCAAAAGGCTGCATTGACAACAGGCAGGCCCCATAGAGGCAGTGAGCATGTGAAGAGCAAGACCACGCAGACTTACTGCAAGAACTGGGTTATGACCACCAGAAACCTCAGTAACCACTTCTCTAGCCTCCCAAGCCAGAAGGCTGGCAATGACCAGGGTCTAATTGCCCAAGGAGCTTCACAGCTGGACTTAAATAAGTTAGAAGCCAGAGAGAAGAATGCCTGTCCTGAACATGAGGCCCAAAGCATGTGGTCTTTTGACTCATTTGAACAATCAGCAACTGTACAGAAAGGCGGGACCTGCAGAAAAAGGAGGAGAGGCAGGAAGCAGCAACCCAGGAGAGCAAAGAGAGGCCGGCTTCTAGCTAGGAAGCTAGAGCAGACCTCAAGGAAGACCTGTAATTTTATGGCTAGCCATCACTGTCCCCAGTCTCCAGTGTGTGATCCACAGGGGCCCCTCATCTGTTGGCCAACTCCGAGAAGCTCCGAAAAGCCAGGCTGTCATATTTTGGAAGAAACAGGAGAGATCAGTAAGACAGCAAGGGCCGCGCAAGGGAACCTCCTGCAGTCTTCCCAGCGCTCCTCCACAGACAGCAGTTCCCAGGGGGACCAGCAGATGAACTGGTTCAGTGACCTCAGCCTTGAAAACCTAGAGCCTCCTCTGTGTAAGAAGGGAGGGAAGAATTTGCTCTGCGATCCGGATTTTGATAGCAGTGATGATAATTTCTAACCTGCCAACAATGACTTTAGCTGATGGTTTGTTCTCAAGATGACAGACAAACTGTGGGACCTTGGCTAGAGCAGCAGCACACAGCATCTGAAGCTGCCTTATGCAGCCTCAGTCAGAGGTCTTGGCTGACTGTGGCAGTAGGGGGAATCAAGTAGTCTCAATTATCAGTTGCTGCTCACAATGGGAAATGGGGAAGAAATGTGTGGAGACAGTGAAGAAAGCTTGGAGTAGCCTGTGGTAAGGCGTCACAGAGTGGCTTGTGTACTTGTGTCACAGAGTGGCTTGTGTACTTGTGTCACAAAGTGGCTTGTGTACTTGGTGAAAAGGGCATTGCCTTCCTTATGGAGTACGATTCGGAAGAACTCTCAGGAATGTTTGTGAGCACATGTGTAACTCTTAAGATGTTCCCTGCACTGCCTGATACCTTCCTGAGCCTCAGCTTTATCTGTATCTAGTGCTGTCAAAGAGTTTTGTCTTTTCCATGAGAGGACATGTTACAGGGCACACTATTAGACACAGTAGCCTTGGCTGGTTTTGAATTTATAATTCTACCTCAGCCTTCAGAATGTCAGTACTATAAGCATGACTTGATTCTCAGCTGTAAATAAGACTACTTAAGAACAGACTTAATCCTTGTACTGGTGGTGCACATCTTTAATCCCAGCACTGGGGAGGCAGAGGCAGGCAGATCTCTGAGTTTGATGCCAGCCTGGTCTACAGAGCACGTTCCAAGACAGCCAGAGCTACACAGAGAAATCTTTTCTTGAAAAAAACAAAACAACAACAGCACCCCAAAACAAACAAGAACAGAGTATTAAAGCTGCCTATGAAAGTGGGGTGTGGCCGGGCAGTGGTGGTGCACGCCTTTAATCCCAGCACTTGGGAGGCAGAGGCAGGCGGATTTCTGAGTTCAAGGCCAGCCTGGTCTACAGAGTGAGTTCCAGGACAGCCAAGGCTACACAGAGAAACCCTGTCTCGAAAAGCCAAAAAAAAAAAAAAAGAAAAAAGAAAAAAAAAAAAGTGGGGTGTGGTGGCTCATGCCGTGATCCAGCAGGAAAGCCAAGAAAGCGTCCTTCCAGCCCTTCCCAGATGGATGTCAGGTGCTTACAGGGTCATCAGAAAGAAGCTTTGAGACCAAAGGACCTTAGTCCTGTCAAACAGTTGTACTATTGGTTATATTTTATTTTTATCTTGTTGATGTTTGTTTGTTTTTTTTTACTGTTTTAATTCAAAGTTGAAATCCTGTGAATTTAATTTTTTTTTCAATTAGTATTTATGAATGAGCCCTTCTAGAACCATCTGACTGTAAAGTGCCAAAGATGAACACTGTGTTGCTAGTCTCTGCTGTTGTAACATGCTCTGTTTCTTCAAAAGTATTTCATTTTGTGTAATGACATCAAAGTCCATGTGACTTGGTGTCCACTAGTTGGATGTTTTGATAGAATAAGTGGTAAATGTATCTCCAACAAGCCTAAGATAATTACAAATGACACTGTATATCTCGGCAATCATTGGGAAAAGGTATTGTTTCTAATTTTATTCCTATGGCTTTTTACTTTCTTTTTTTCTTTTTCCTTCTTTTTTTTTTAATGTTCCTGCCAGACTTGGTGAGCGTGACACAGTCCCAAACACATCCCTGGAACACACAACATTTTTGGCTCTTCAGATGCTCCTAGAGCTGTATGTAGCTACACAGGGGCGGATGTGGTGGGAGGGCTCGGGTGGGAGGATAGAGAGTCTGCTGTGCTCCTCCCTCTGTTACTCCAGGATGGAAATGAAGTTGACTACAGCACTTAATTGCCTGACAGTTCTGTATCCATTTACATATTACCAGCAAAATGGCCTTTTTACGTTTTGAGTGTATATATGTGTGTATGTGAGAGTGTGTGTGAGTGTGTGTGTGTATGAGAGAGAGAGAGAGAGAGTGTGTGTGTTTGTGTGTTGGTTCTCTCCTTCCACCCTGTGGGTTCTGAGGAGCATTCATCCTCTTGCCCTGTTTTATCTCACACTGATCTGGCTGAGTTAGTGTTCTTGTTTCACTTAACCAGGGATATGAACTCCAGAAGTAAGGACGACATCCTCCTTGTCCTTGCTGTGTTCCCAGCATATAGGAGAGTGATTTGGTACTTACTGAGGGCAGAGGCTGCATTTTAAGGCAGATAGCTCCTTAAAAACCCTATCTTCAAGCCTCATGGTGGTGACACACACCTTTAATCTTAGCATTCAGGATGCAGAGGCAGGTGGAGCTCCAAGTTTGAGGCTAGCCTGGTCTACAGACTGAGTTCCAGGACAGAGACCACCCCCCCTCAAAAAAAACAAAACAACAAAACAAAAACTCCAAAAAACAAATGAAACCATATCTTGAAATTTGGCCTTTCTATGACGTCCTTCTGCTGCTCACCCTCAACTTGGCTTCAGAAGCTCCAAAAGATTCCTGTTTATTTCCACTTCTCTTTCACAGGAAATTTCTCGTGACTCTCCTTCACCCAGTGTACCCAGAAAAATAATCACCTCCCTACCCTTCCTGTATATGTTTGTAATTTGAAAAAAAATTTTTTTAAAAGCCAGTGTTAGGACAAAACTTTACCATACATTTTCCAGACAGTCTATGACCACATAAGGGCTTGAATCCATTTCAAATATAGTTCCTGAGTAAGACTTTTGTAAATATTTAGCTTGAACCTAAAATATTAGTGTTCTCCCATACCAAGAAGAAACCAAATTACCAGAACATGATCTGAGGGTGACCATCTTAGCAAATCTCAACAATCGGGTAACCTAGTAACATCCTTTTTTTCCTGCCATATGAAGGTTGTGTGCCTCCACAGTCAGAGAAGCCCCATATGGTTCTCAAATGAACCCTTTCTACCGTCTTTCTTGAATATCTTACAATTCCATCTGTGTCAGGATGACCTTAACATCCTGCCAGCTTGTTCCTGGATGCAAAGCTGAGGGACACAGGCTCCCCAACTGCACTGCCTGTTTCCTTCCCATTCCCTTGATTCTTCTGGAATCTTCTCTGAGGTTCAAAGGGAAAGTTCAAGAGAAGACAAAGGAGTTAGGAAAAGTGCAACAGGAGGTTATTGTAGTGTTCCCCCAGTGGAGAGTGAGAGGCATGCTGGTGGGAGTCCTGAGAGCTAGAGACAAGAAGACAGGCGTCAGCGCCTGATGGAGCTTCCCCTCTGGCATGGGCACAGAGACTTGCTAACCGAGTGCCCTGGCATCTGGGTAGGGCATTCAATATAGGGCCTAGAAATTAAGGTAGCCAGGGTGGCATCCATGCTTGGGAATGTCAGAAACACTGTCATGTAGTTGGCCTGAGGGCAGTGCCAATTTCAAGCTCTTGTCAGCAGGTGCTCTGCCCTTGCCTAGCCTACCTTCCCACTGTTGTTTAACTCTCCTTGTAGCAGGCCCTTCCTAAGCCTCTGCCAGCCATCCAATCTTTTGTTCTAGAAACATCTGTAGACTATCTCTTCACTTATTGTCTCAGTCAACCAGTCTACTTCTGAGCTGTGGATTTAGCATATTGGTGGAATGCAGCCATGGAACCTGAAAATCACAAGGTGGATGGGACCGGCTTCTCATCTGCCTTATGCTGTGATTTCAATTTTGCAGTTTGCAGCTAGCAGGTTCCACTGCGCCTATTTATTCTTGAATTTGCCTTGTTTCTATTTTGATTCTGGTAATCCAAATTGCACTCTGGTGTTTCCACGGAAACAATTCAGTCATTGTTTGGTGTGCCAAGATGAACTGTGGGGGAGGGAAGCCGAATGACGTAAAACGTTTTCAAGTTTCTCAGCCATGACTAGGGTCAACTGTCATACATCATGAATGCTTTGGACTCTGAAAACCTTTAGTTGTATTAAATGCTATCTATGTTTTAGGCTTCTATATCCTCTTCAGCAAATTCCTGAAAAACCATTCCTCTTCCTCCCCTCTGAGCAGATGACAAAGGCAGGAAAGGTTTTAGGGGCCAGGGGATGTAAAAGGATGAGGAGGAGGTTCTAAGCCCACTTGAGTAAACTGGGGCTGCCATGTCTGAGACTTGACACTCACCTACTCGCCAGGCATCCGTTTCTGCAGTGAGGAAAAATATCCCCCATTTGGATATTTAAAATGAATTCCTTATTTCCTAAATCTATTTTCACATAAAGCCTTTACTAAAGGAAAACCTACCTTTCTGGGCAGAGGGAGCCTGGACTATCCTTGTCTGTGGTTCCTTGTGTTGGGCCCACAACTCCACCATAAGCAAAAACAAAAACCTGTCACCTCAAAGAGTTCCATGGTTAGGGTTCTGTCCTCATCCTTCAAAGTCATGGAGATTAGACCTTGGCCTGTGACCTCAACTAGGGCTTAGTTTTGTGGACCTGTGACATCCAATCCAAGGATCCAGAGCCCTCAGGTCAGGTGTCCTACAGGAGTCCTGTGTGGTTGGAAACCATCCGTGCATTTCTCACAGACTGTGACAGCTGTGGCTGATAGGAACCTAGTGACAGTATCCATGGGTGACTGATGGAGAAGTAGGGCTGGGGTGAAACTCAGAAGTGCTAGCCTGGGCTAAGTTCTGGGATTGATCTGCAGACATACACCATTTCTTTATACTGAAATGATACATATCTATTGTAGATAAAAATAGAAAAATTTTCTTTCCCCCCCTTCCCTTCTCTTCTGCTTGCTCCATCCCTGCTCGCTCCGGCCCAAAGGTTTTTTTTTTTTAATTATAAGTACACTGTAGCTGTCTTCAGACACCCCATAAGAGGATATCAGATCTCATAATTTTGAGCCACCATGTGGTTACTGGGATTTGAACTCATGAACACCGGAAGAGCAGTCCGTGCTCTTAACCACTGAGCCATCTCACCAGTCCATATGTTGTTTTTTTTTTTTTAAACCACTAATTTCCTTTGCTTTCCTACAAAATTTTCACTTAAATATTTTAATAGGTTGGAGTTGGTTGCATTTCTATTTTTTTTTTGTTTGTTTTTTTCAAGACAGGGTTT